GGAGAAGTGGTGCCTTGGGGCACGCCCGGGATCCGACCCCGGGCCGCCAGCATCAGAGCCCGCGCACTTAACCGCCAAGCCACGGAGCCGGCCCCCACCCTTTAAGTATTAATAGAGTTCCCTTTAGGGTTTTCTTTTGCTTCTTTTTGCTTTTGTTTTGTTCTCCTTTTTCGTTTGCTTGCTGGCGTCTTCTTGGGACCCCATAGGATCTTTTCTTTTGTGTCAGGGTCCTTTCTTGACATGGTGGGCTACTATCGACGTTCTCCCCAACAAAGAGGAGAAGATCTCTCCAAAGTCATCTTCTGAGAGTGGAGTCTCCCCCTGCTGTCTGGCAGGAGCACGTCCCTAGGGCCTGCCATCTCTTGGACCTGAGGAACCTTCCATCTGGGTGGATCGAGACCACTTCCTGTGCCCACTAGGCTTTCAATCAGTTGACGTGATGACTCCTTTTCTCTCTCTTGTTTATCTGGGCACAGGACGTCGTAATCGACTGGACCGATTCTCCAGACTTCTTCGTATGGGCCTTGCCACTTTGCCAGGAGCTTGCTCTCGGTGTTGTACGGAAGGAGGAGCACCCTATTCACCTGCTGAAACTCTCGAGCACCTTTATTGACCTCTCTAGCCGGGGTCTACAGGCCCCGGGTCAGATATCCGCCTATAAATCACCCAACCAGGTCTAGTCGCTCCCACCTTTTAGAGCCTGTTGTAGCATGCTGGCCATCTCATTCAGTCAGGCTCCTCCTGATGGTCTTTGACACCAAGGAGGCCTTTGAATTCCGATTTTCTTGTGATGTTTTACGTAGGAGAAAACTCCATACAGGCTTGAGGAATTTTCCTCCTTGTGTCAAGTAGGGAACGCAACATAACATTTTATGCTTTGGTCTACATCTCAAGCAACATCAGAAACATTGACTGTAATATCCTCTGTCTTGAAACAATATTTCCTACTTCTCTCAGCAAGGATCACTTCAAATTTTTATCTGGAATCATAAGAACTCTACCTTTTAAACCTGCAAAGGAGAAATAAACCAGAGACAGTCTGGGGTTGTCACATAATGATAATGTACATGTTCTATAAAGATTATTAATACCAAACTAAGGATTAGGGACAACTTTGATCCAGCTGGCTAATACTAAGCTTTTTAGGCTAGAGGTGTCCTCTCGGGCTGGCTATTTCCTATGCATGTGGCTAAGGGAATCTATTTAATGACAGCCGTTGCTCTGGAAGCCCGTCTCTTGTTCACATTGGCATCAAGCAAATTATAGACTCTCTTAAGAGGTGAAGCTGAGACCAAAAAAACAAAAACTTAGATTGGCACAGTAAATTGTCTATTTGTGAGGTACTTTTTATTCTGCATTTATAAATGGTCAACTTTTTATTATCACAAGATAAACTGTGCCCATTATGAGTTATCTATAGGAAGCGTTTTAATCAAAGGCTGTCTTCCTGCTTCCCCCTTCCTGCCATGCCCCTGGTGTCTAGGCTGCCTTTCCACTCTCAGTGCTGTGGTCTTAGGGAAAGCACATCTATTTTTAACACTATGCTTAAAATAAAAGGAGGCAGTCCAGAAATTATCTGAGTGATTAAGTAGTTCTTAAGACCATTTTCTATCTAGAACTATGCTTGGTGCTCTGTGGGGATTGTTCTCCAAGATTAAAAGCTCATGGACTAGCTGGAGTAATAAACTAGCCCATATAAAACAACTAGCAACACAGGATTGTATGCGTGCATGCATGCATGTACATGCATGTGTGTATAACCAATAGCTAAGTATTATGGTGCACATTAAGTACATAAGTCATCAGAGAAGAGAAATCAGTTGGAAATGGATTCATGGAAGGGATAGGGCTTATGGAAGGTCTTGAGAGGTAAATAGGATCTGTTTAAGCAAAGGAAGGAGAAGAGAGTGTGATAAGGAAGAAAAAGACAAGAGAAATTCTATGGATATTTTGGATAATACATGGTTTCAGATAATCTGGGCCACCGTGTTCTCAAGTCAAGAGCTAATTGTTCTCACAAGACTTCATGGTTAAATTTGGATACTGGAGTAGTTTAACTGAATTTTTTAATTAGCTTTCACTGCTTCCCCCAAAATTGTCATCTTGGAACCTTGTGAAAGTTCAGAACCTTCCAGATTCAGCTGTGGGATCAGGCTCAGGGCCATAGTGTAGATGAGAGTGGCTTGGGCAAAACCATCTGGCTTTCAGGTGGGACTGCTGACCAAAGGTCCACCTGCCTTTGGTTGGGTTTCATAGTTAACAAAACGTTGTAGATTTCAGGATGGCTAACATGGGCACCTTGGTGTCCATGTAGACTTTCAGTCTCTTAAGGGGTTGCCAAATCTTAATTGGTGTTGAGAGTCTCTAATATGTTCTTTAAGGAATAATAGCTCAAGTTTTTGTTACTAAAAATTCTAAGCTAATAATCTCTGTCCTTAGAAGGAATTTAGACTTGAAAACCTGAAGGATCTGAATATAGGATCTATAATGAGATGTTAAACAGACTATATACCCTGATTTCAGGGACTAGGGGGCAAGCAGTTCGAGGGGGTTGCAGTTAAAGGGCACACAGAATAACAGATTGTTTTCTGTCCTCATAGAAGATAGACTGGAAAGAAATGGCAGAAACTCAATATTTAGTTTAAATTCAAGGAATAATGTACTAACAACAGGTTACTAAAAATATAGATAACTTAAAGAAGAAAATGTGATTTCACTTGCTGGTCATCCTATGTAGGCTAGATTCCCTTTGTAGAGACTCTGTAGATGTGGTCTGAGCAATTTGTAGGGCACATGGAATTCTTTGATTCTGGGGTGGTCGTGTGAGTACCTGGATTGAGGAGTGGAGGGGAAGACAGCTCTCAAAATTGACATCTCTGGGCTTTTTTTCTTACATCATTCCTAGCCCAGGAGAATGCTCTGTCCATTTCGTGGTTCTGTTAGTGTCTTTAGAAATGTCTGTGTTCAGAAGTGGAGCTGAGAGCAGAATGGCCGCATAGCTTCATTTGAAGTGGTGATAGCTTTTGTGGAAGTACCAGTCAAATCCTGTTCTGGAACCAATATTAGAGGACATTTGATTATCGATTATATGCACAGATGGTTCATTCCTAATGTCTTGGAAGCATCGACTTCAGTGCCTGGCTTCTTGGAGATATGAAGGGAGGTGTGGGTCAGTCAACACACATGGTTTTGAAGAACTGGAAGGGAGGACCTCCCATAGACATTGGTTCTCCAGATAGAGGCAGTAGAAGGCTGCCTGGAAACAAGAAGAACGAGAGCAGCCATTGGGAGCGGACTTTTCCGGGAGTGGTTGTCTGAGAAAAATCAAGTCTGGTGAGAAGCCAGGGGTAGCCATTGCTTGGTGGATGGTGGTCATGCTTCTTTTAATGACTACTTGAGCTACTTTTCATTGACCAGGTTTAAGTGCCGACAGTCTTGTTTTTATAATGTCTCTTTTTAGGACTGCCACTATTTCATGCTTGTAAAGAACACTAGAAATTTTCATTACAAGTAATGAACATGTGCAGACCTGCTGTGGAAATAAAATAATCCAGAATTAGATCAAATTAAATCAACTTTTAGGCGGCATTTTTATTTTTTATTAAACAGCGGGTTATTTTGTTAGTGTTGCTTTGTTTTCAATGGTTACACATCCTCAAACTTAACTTAAAAGTCCTGTCTACTGTTTAAGTTTTTAAAATATGTTTGTTAGAATGTGATATTCTAGGGCCGGCCTCGTGGCTTGGCGGTTAAGTGCGTGCGCTCCGCTGCTGGCGGTCCGGGTTCAGATCCTGGGCGCGCATGACGCACCGCTTCTCCGGCCATGCTGAGGCTGCGTCCCACATACAGCAACTAGAAGGATGTGAACTATGACATACAACTATCTACTGGGGCTTTGGGGGGAAAAATAAATAAATAAAGTTTAAAAAAATAAATAAATAGAATGTTATATTCTTATTTGCTTAATCTTCACCTGTAGAAATAATCCTGTGTATATTTATTGTTTCAATATTTGCCTTCCAGGTGCCAGGATTGCTGAGTATTCCCAACTATATGACCAGATCGTATTCAGAGAGACTCCCGCTAAGACTCAGAAGGATGGCTGGGCCAGCCCTCAAGAATCTTCCATCCTCAGGTCTACATCACCTTCCCAGGCCCAATGTGGTAGCGAGGATTGGCTTCTGCATTCAACCTATAGTAACGGAGAGTTAGCAGATTTCTGTCTCCGACCAGAGCAAGACTTGAAGTCCAAATATCCCACTTTCGAGATCAATACAAAAAGTAGTCCAAGACAGTTGTCCACAGCTTGCTCCGTGCCTTCTCTTCAAACCTCCGACCCTCTGCTGGGCTCCATACAGAGACACAGCGTGGTGGTCAGCCAGCCCCACAAAGAGAACTCACGTCAGGGCCATCTTTACAACTCTTTGGGTCGGAAAGGAATCAGCGCTAAGTCTCAGCCTTATAACAGGTCCCAGTCATCTTCCTCAATCTTAATAAACAAGTCAGTGGACTCCATCAACTACCCTAGTGAAACGGAAAAGAAACAGCTGCTGTCTTTACACAAAAGCTCAAGGTGCGAGAGTCACCAGGATTTGCTGCCAGGTATTACTGACTCGTGTCAACAGGGCACCGAAAAACGCTCAGATCTCACACTCCAAGACTCACGGAAAGTTCTGGTAGTGAATAGACATTCACCTTTAAATGCCCAAATAGCCACACAGAACTATTTTTCCAATTTCAAAGAGACCGAAGGAGATGAAGATGACTATGTGGAAATAAAGTCAGAGGAAGATGAGTCAGAGCTAGAGTCTTCTCACAATCGTAGAAGGAAATCTGACCCAAAGATTACGGATGCTGACTTTTCTGAGGTCTGCAGCAACAAGACGTCGTGCTCTTTGAGTAGTCCGTGTACTCCAAAAAAGTCAGTGAGCGGCAAACTGGGGATTTCGCCATATCTGACATCGTGTGATGATTCTGATAAACTGAATGACTATCTCTGGAGGGGGCCTTCTCCCAATCAGCAAAATATTGTCCAATCTCTTAGGGAAAAATTTCAATGTCTTAGTTCAAGCAGCTTTGCCTAAGGTTCTTAGTAGCAGCTGCCTGAATTAATTTCTTATTCTGCTCATAAATTACAAATACTGAGAGGTGTTTTATATGTACCAAATTAAAACAATTTTGTAACAACCAGAGGTGTAAAATATACTTTCTTTTAACAGCACAACTTTTTGAAATGGCTGAGGATCCAGCCAGGATTGTACTGTAGCAAATATCAGCATCTAACAGTGTGTTTTCTGATACTGATTGTCTTCATGTTTCATGTAAGTCAATCTTACTCGAAAATTTGTAGGCATTTTTTTTTTTTAACACGTGGCCATGAGATTTTTGCCCCCATATCCTGACAATTGTGCCCAGACTTTAAGAAATGCAATAATCCTCTCGTGTTATCCAGAAGCCACGTTTAAAGGATGATGTTTACATCTGACATTTTTGTTACATTTGTGGCAAGACCCTAGAATAATTGAAGCTAGAGATCTCTAATTGGAGTATAATCTATGGTGTCCATTTTAGGGTTTCTAGGCTCGTATTCCTACATCAGTTCATTATAATGCAGAAATTGTGTAACTATTGGAAATGAGAATGTAGCAAGACCAGTTTTCTCTAGCAAAAATCCTTAACTGTATTCCTGGACAAGGCCTGGAGAATGTGCTGCTTTTCACGTTTATTTTTTGATGTCTGGGGTAAAATGAATGATTCCTTTAATGGCTTAAAACCAAGCGCAAGAAAGAACACATTGACTTATTAGAAATGACGCGTCGACATCTGAGAACAACTTGATTATCTCATCATATTACAATTGAAAGAGGGGGGAAATAGAGCCCTTCAGACTATTTTTTGTGCCTGTCTAATCAACACGAAGTAAACCATAAGCTAAAATAAAACAAAGCACTTTAAAGTTACCCTGTGCAAAGCAGCTTTGTATATGGACTTGCGTGAGTTTTATACTCAGCCAAATGACCTGATCCTAACCTTGAAGATTTCGTTGACTGCAGTGAAATTTATTTTCTAATTCAGACAAAGCATGGGGGCCCTTTTTTCATTGTTGTGAGGTGTATAAAAAAACAGAATCTTTGGTTACCAAGTTCTAACTAATACCATCTTTTATGTTGTAATTATGGTCTTTAAATAGCGGTTCATTGTGATACTACATACTAATATAACTCTTTATGGAAGGAAACAGAAAAACAAAAATAAGACCTTATGAGTAAAAAGCAAAGTCAAAGAAGCTAAAGAGAAAAATGAAGGCAGATTTATTGCTACTTTATAAAAATATTCTATTTTATTGAAGACTCTCGTCAATGCAACAAGAATGTTTTCTCAAACAGTGGCCTTTGTATTCTCATTTTAAGCCATTTTGCATGCTGTGGCTCCTCCGCCAGCCTCTCAGTTTTCGTTTTAAAAGATACGATAATATGTGTAGGGAAAGGGGATCTGGGCTTTTTATTTAAAGTTGAGCGATGATGTTGATTTGAATCGGTGACATCTTAAACCATCATTCACTTCCTCTTTTTAATTCCTATGCCTCTTTTTCTTAACTGTAAAACATAAAATGTGACCATCCTTATGTTACACACAGGTACCTAAGGCATTCGTTTTTTTTTTTTCAATAACAAAAAATTACCCCAGTTTCTTGCTTTTCCATACTCTTCTTCTTGTAGCTTATGAAACAAAGTCCATATTGACTAGCATGGTTCTGCACACATTCCTTTCATTATCTTTCCTTAAAAATGATAGGAGTTTTCGAGGTAAGCAGCATCAGAAAAGAGAAGCATAGTAAGAAAGCATATTCTTAGACTTACAAGAGGTATTTGTAAGTGCTTTTACAAAACAAAGTTACCTGCCTCTCGTCCCAGGAATGCTGTTTCCCGTTTTTGCTTTTTAGTTTGTATGACCCAAATACTGTATTATCCATATTACTGTGGGGTCTTCCTCTCAGAAATTATTAATTCTTCACACCGGTGTCTTGTTGCCTGACCTTGATGTCACCTATAGGACTACACCCCGCTGCACGAAGGTGGATGTCTTACTGTATAAAATGTCTCGGTGGTTGTCTGTAGGTTCTAGGACAAATCTGTACTTTTATAGAACACTTCTGTCAGCCAGGATGCAGATTTTGAGAGCTGTGTGTATATATATAATCATGTTCTTATTTTTCCTCAAAGTTATCAATTAAGTGCTTTTGTTTAAAATAGTTTTTTTTTTGGAAGTGGGATAGGGATGTATATAATTGGGGAAAAAAGTTATATGTACTTAAAAGTATGTCAAGTTCTTATTAGGTCTCTGTACTGAAGGTTCAGTTTTTTTTATAAGTTCACTTTTCACGTACTCTATTCTTTGTGCAAAAAAAAAAATGCATCTAGGAAAACATAGTTTAAATACTGTATATAAGATAATGAAAGTTAGTAATGCTCATTATTTAATAAAGTTTGTAAAGTACAAAGTAAATTACAGTGTGAATTTATGTGTTTATTCTAGAATGGTCAAGATTTTTCCAAGTGACATTTAGTTAAAATACTTGGTCTTGCCTTATGGGCCATGCAGAAAATGGTTCAGGGTAATGATGATATCCCGTGTTTCAGTGGCCCGTGACAGACCATTTCCTGTGTCTTTGGATTTCTTTTAAAATGTTGAATTTTGTTCGGGATGGTATTTGTTTTCTTGATAGGTGGCTAAGTTAGATCAATCACTAGATTATCTTTTTTATTTTTTTACTTTGTAGTAACAGAAGGCATCCTTTTAACTATTTCATTATTGAATCAAAAATTAATATAAAATTTTTTGGCACAAATTAAGGTTTTTTTGTGTAACTTCATGTTCTGAATTTTCTTTGATAGACAAAAATTTTACAGGGAACAAAGCATGCTAATAAATTTGATAATTACAGACACTTTCTAAAGCAATTTTATTTCCAAATATAAGCATAATACCCTACCCCATTAAATGAAAATATAGGTTGCCTAACTTTCCTCATACAGAGGAAAATGGTCTCACGGCCTACTGGTTAAAGTTCCGCGTGCTCCACTTTGGCAGCCTGGGTTCGCTGGTTCAGATCCCGGGCGTGGACATACCCCACTTGTCAGCCATGCTGTGGCAGTGACCCACATATAAAGTAGAGGAAGAGTGGCACAGTTGTTAGCTAAGGGTGAATCTTCCTCAAGCAACAAAAAGAGGAAGATTGGCAGCGGATGTTAGCTCAGGGCAAAATCTTCCTCAGCAAAAAAAATAAATAAATAAATTTGGAGTAGAGAGTTTCTAAACATACTGAGGATCCATCAGACTTACCTAATCTTGTTGTTCTACCTTGAGGTTGAAAATAGATGGAGTTTTCTGTAAGTCATAAGAGTTCAGTTGTAGAGAAGCAAATGACATTAGAAAACCCATGCCCATGAGGCTGGCCCCGTGGCTTAGCGGTTAAGTGCGCACCTTCCGCTACTGGTGGCCTGGGTTCGGATCCTGGGTACGCACCGACGCACCGCTTCTTCAGCTATGCTGAGGCCTCGTCCCACATACAGCAACTAGAAGGATGTGCAACTGTGACATGCAACTATCTACTGGGGCTTTGGGGAAATAAAGGAGGAGGATTGGCAATAGATGTTAGCTCAGAGCCAGTCTTCCTCAGCAAAAAGAGGAGGATTAGCACGGATGTTAGCTCAGGGCTGACCTTCCTCACAAAATAAAACAAAAAAGGAAAACCCATGCCCTGTGTAAATTCTACACATAAATCCTTAGGGGAAAGAAAAAAAATCTTTAAAATCAGCAGGTTTGTAATGAGCTATATATACAGCTGTTAAACATGCATAACATTTGTCTGTTAAGTAGTCTTGATGTAAAGAAAAATTTAATTTCTATTTTCAAGAGCAAATGTTAATACTTCAAGAGCTCTCACATTCTCTATGCTACATAACTTCCTCTATCTGGACAGCGGTAGCTACACTCAATTCTATCAGCCAGAAAGGGGTTACAATAAAAGAAACTGCTTCAACTTCTTTGCTAATTAACATGTCTATATGTCTTTTATTTTGTTTGCTGAGGGAGATTAGCCCTGAGCTAACATCTGTGCCCATCTTCCTCTATTTTGTATATGGGACGCCACCACAGCATGGCTTGATAAGCAATGCGGAAGTCCGTGCCTGGGATCCGAACCCGTGAATCCCAGGTTGCCAAACCGGAGCACACAAACTTAACCGCTACACCACCGGGCCGGCCCCCGACTAAGTTGCTTTGTAAAATTCACAGCACCCACCCTCCAGAATCCAGTGTCATCCACTACCTATCATTAGAGTTCCTATTCAGTAGGTCAGGGAAAAGACTCTGTGCCCCTTTTCCATCTCTTGGTTGATAGAATACCAGAGTGAGATTTCCAGTAACCTTTTAAGCTAAGAATCTACATGGTCATATGAGAGTTGGATTATCACACCCTTCCCTGAAATTGTTTAGACCAAATGCCTTTCCCAACACCTGGTTTTGATGATGTGAGAAGAGCATAGAGCAACCTAGCATGCAGCTGTGGGGTTGAAGTCAAGTGAGGTTGGAAGAGAAGAGCCCAGAATGCTGAGATTTTTTGGTGCCAAAAGACAAACTTGCCCACTTTACAATAGTGGCATATGCCCTTGGGCAAAGTTCACTTTATGTATCTATGAAAAACCACAAAGCTCGATTTTCCTGACGATGGCTTAGTCACCATGCATCATACAATAGGAAAGAGAGAAGCTAGCAGTTCCACTTCATTGGTTGTAAAACCATGTTTATTCAGCTCAACGTAAAAGAACACGGCTTGGATAGTGAGCAAATTATCTGCTCTGTGGGTCAAATACAAGCCCGCAAATATCCTATTGTTTGTATGGCCATGTATGGCTCTCCATGTAGTTCTCATATAACCACCACAAGACCATGGGGTAAGCTGATTCCTTTTCGTATAGACCAGTTAAATCAGAGGCTATAAACTGGTGGCCCAGAGGCTGAATCTGGCTGGCACAACTTTAAAGAGGTTAAACATAAAAATCCAAATTGCCAGCTTCTTTAAAAAAAAAAAAAAAAGATCTGGCCTGGATTCTGATGAGGTGACTCTGAGATCCAAGGAGGGAGTCCAAAGATGAAAATCACCCTAAAAGGTAGTGACTTGCCTTAACCTTTGAGGAGACTGTTCCTTTGTCTCTGTTATAGACTATAGACTCGGTCAGCAAATTTAAAACCACCATGGAGCACTTGAACGCAAATGTTTTAGACAGAAAGTAAAAGCTCTCCTCTTAACGTAAAGTGAACATACGTCATAGAAAGTCTGCAGAACCTAT